GTCACCTCTGCAAACTTGAACCAGTTTTAATCCTATCAAAAAGAAAAGTGAACGAAGTTGGTGAGGGATTTAATTCTGGTCCTTCGGATGCCTCTGCCATTTAGATTCTGTGTTCACTAAAGGCATTTGCAGCCAGGCTCCAAATTAACGTGGGTCCCTTTGATTAGGGCCAGCAGGTTTGGACACAGACCACTGCAAATTAAAACCAGGTGTCTGTGCCCTGAAGCAGGAGAGACAGCCCTAAGCAGTTTAATGACATCTCTAAATAATTTTGACAGCAAAATTACTTATCCTATCTCACCTTTACACTGCCCTTGACACGCTGCTATCAAGATGATGTTGCATTCACTGCTTTTATATATTTATTTATCTTGATTTCCATGCTTACCTTTCTTTTACTCAGACAAGTAGATTTTCCAGACCTGGTGGAGAAACAAACTGAGAAAGTAGCACTCTTCCCTACAGCTTTTGCATTGCAGCAAGCCTCACCTGCCTGCAACCCCTTAAAAGCCACAGGAAGACAGAAATATTTTCCTGAACTATGGCTGCTTCACCAGCTCTGCTGTTCACTCTGAAATCCAATTAATATTTTTCTTTCCAGAGGGTATTTAATAATCCACAAAATTAAATCCTTCAGTATTGTGCTGGTACTCCTGGAGCCATTGATCCGGGTTTACTCTGATTATTATGATTCTACGATGGGCAAAGAGATTTGCACTGAACTCTTGCTAAGCATTCAAGTTTAACTTCCAAGTTTGCACTGCAACAGGAACCCTCTAAAAATTGCCTAAGCGAAGCCCATTAGAAAAATAAAAAGCAACCTCCAACGAATGCTAAATTCAACTAAAAGGTGCCGGATTCAAAGCAGCACTCCAACGCAGCATGAAACCACAAATAAAAATCAACAGGGTGTGCCAAAGACCTTGGGGGACAGGAAAGGTTTATAAGTCTGCTTGACGGAGGGGATTTCTCCACGTTTGCAGCCACCAGAGACACGAAGGCAAATGTTTGACACCCCCATTCACCCAACCTCAGCATCCAACCCCTAAGGCCAGAGAGCCTCAGGAAAGAACCCGAATCTCTTAAGCTCTAAGTACATTTTCAGGCTTAATTCTGCCTCTACAGGCAGCCAGCTGAAGTTTGCAGCAGCCAAGGTCCTCTTTTCCCATTAATTTCCCTTGAAAGACCCCCCGCCAGAGCCAGGCAGGGCCAGGCTGGGGGTGGCAGTGACAGCAGCAGGGCAGGTGACACAAGGCCACACCGTGGGGGAGATCCTGGGCCACCTTCCAGCCCCTGCACAAGGAGGTGGTGGAACATGCAGCAATCCCAGGGCTAGAAGCAGGGGCTTTGTTGCCTGCTGTCATTTAGTTTTTAAATAAGCAAATATATGTGTTTTCCATCCTTGACAAAGTCTTCAATTAAGGCCTTAAGTTCAGGGGCGGCAAAACAACAACAACAACAAAGCAAAACAAAACAGAAAAAAAAAATAGGAGCAAAGAGAAAGAATTTCACATAAAACAAGAGCAAAACAGCCCCAGTAAATGAATTACCCATGTCACTGACCAAGCTACACGATGGCCACGCGCCCTGACACGCCAGGAAGGAGACGGAGGGAGGCCAAAATATCCTACCGGGGCTCCTTTCCTGCAGCCAGGTCGGGATAGATTTTTAAGAGCCTCCTCCTTTCCCTGGACCGCGGCCCGACGCTCCGAGCGGAGCCAGGGCAGCGTTTCAAAGGGCCAGGCGCGCAGTCGCGGCAAAGAGAAGGGAAAAGATGAACACGGGAACGAGCCGGGGCTGAGCTGAGGCGCCGCAGGGGCCGCGAGGCCGGCCTGCAGAACGCGCTCGGGGCTCCCTCTGAGGAGGGAAACGGAGCAGATCCCGTACAAAGGACATCTCTATTCCGCTCAACACTTCCCAAATTAAGCCATTTTGCTTTAGCCATGGACATTTTAGCGCTGTTCTCAACGAAATCACGAGGTTTCCCCTCCCTCCGCTCGGCTTGAGGGCCGGCGCAGGTCACGCTGCGGGCGCAGGGCAGCGGCCCCGGCGTTCCGAGGGGAAACTCCGGCGCTCCCGGCAATCCGGCGGGGCAGGGGGCTGAGCAGGACGGACCCACGCGGGGCGCGAGCAGCCCCCGGGTGCC